ATGGCTCGTAGATGAGAGATTTTTTTCCGTCTTATGTGACACTTATTGTTATATATTGGCCAATTCACTCAATAACTACATAAATTATTATATATATGTAATTATCATATATGAGCTATATTACTGTTAAGTTTCATTAAAATCCATTCAGTATTTTTTTATGTGAAATAGTAACAAGGATCCATACAAACGTAAGATTGAAATTAAAAGCGCAAGTCGTTAATATACAACTTTAAAGCGTTGTAGATCCTAAACAATCATATAAAATGAAAAATGGTGTTAGGAATCTAAATATGATTTTTGATTATCTAGACAGTGATACCCCACTCGACATATTTTGTCAACTTATTTTTTTTACTTCGTCACAATATGGCGCCTAATATTGCCCATATTGAATTTTGATTACTACCATATCTTTAGTAGCACTCCCATGATTGAGACGAATCGATTGATGTATGAATCATCAAAATCGGTCCAGGCGTTTGGTCTCTAGTGTGCCACAAAGGAACAAACATACATATATAGACTGTTAAACACATAACCCTGTCTGCGCGTCGCGCTTCGCGCTCTTGCATTGCGCAGCCGGGTAAAAATAAAAGAACTATGATTTTTACACTTCATTATGGTCAATTTTTGGTCACCTGACGTCATGTTTCTTTTTTTGCGTTGGCAACGTTGGCGTCGAGTAACTACAAGTGACGTCAACGAGAGTGCGAGAGTGTGAGTTTGGTTTTACACCGAATCAAATTGATTTATATCGTTTGAAAACAGTGTTTTTTTTTTATTTACCACACAGTTTTTAACTTATGATGAGAGTTTTTATTACTTAGGTAGGTAATACCTATGCTTGGTCGCGGATGAACCAACTAGAACTAAATTCGTTAAGTATATCAATATCAGTCAGTAAGTATATCACACATTTAAAAACTCATTATACAGTTTATAGGTACTCCGTTATATTCCTACCTCGGTAAAATCAAGACAATGGTGTCGATTCTGGCGTGATTCTCTAAACTTAAAACTAAATTAAACATCAGTCTCTCCTTTTCATGGCGTTATTCAGATCTTTTTTACGTATGGTATTCCTCCAACTTCATATATATTTTTAAACAGTAACACAAAATTATACCTGTGGCTGTCAGTGACTGTAACAAAAATCAAGAAAGAAGAAATACAGTTTATCAGCATATATTATTTACAACATATTTTATTTTGAAATAATAAACTAAAGAATTGGCTGTATGGGCACAGTACCCTTTGCCTACCCAGAATGGGTAAAGAATCTAAAAAAAAACAACTGTAACAAAAAAAAAACTGTTCCGTTTACTGTTTACTTTAATCTTCGTGAATTTAATGTTTTCTTGTGATTTTTGGTGGTTTTTCCGTCGATTTCAGCTATTTTTCCGGACTCCGATTCTCCTGCTTTTACGTTTTGAGGATATACTGTACTTCCAGGGCCCAAAAGTAAAAACTTCAGTTTTGTTGGTTGTAATTTCGCATTTTTGTTGTTAAAAAGGTTTCTGTTAACCACATTATTAAAAAAAATGTCACACTTATGCACCGGTAGTTTTTTAGAAAAAATATTGAAAATTTTTACTTTTCTTATCAAGTGGTCATACTTCACACTAGGTTAGGTTAGTGTTGTGACCATAACGCGCGAGCCGAGCGAGCAAAGCGAGCGTGCCGCGGCAGCGGCCGGCGAAGCGCCAGAAAAAAAAATCTGTTAAAAAGACCTTTTCTACAAAAAAAAACAAGGGTACTTAATTCCATTATATGTAATTGAATTTCGGGGTAATTTGTAGGGGGGGTGGAGGGGGGGCTCCCCCCGACCCCCCCGCCATAAACGATTTTTGGCGGAAATGCAGTTTTTTTTTTTTTACCTAACCTAAAAATTCATTAAATCTGTTAAATGTAGTGGAATTTCAGGGGGATAGGTATTAGGGAAGACCCCTCAGAGGGAAGGGTAAATCCCCCTCCCCCCTCCCGGCGTTTTTTTACAGAAATGATAATTATAAAAAATTAGAGGGGTTTTATAGGTAAAATTGTACTTCCAGGGCCTAGAGATGATATTTGATTTTTTTGTAGAAAAAGTCTCTATTAACGAATTTTTCTTTCTGGCGCTTCGCCGGCCGCTGCCGCGGCACGCTCGCTTCGCTCGCTCGGCTCGCGCGTTAAGGTCACAACACTAACCTAACCTAACCTAGTGTGAAGTATCACCACACAAGCGGCTCATTAGAGTCCAAAACTCGCAATACACTCGACTCTTCAGGCGAAGGGCCAGCAGAACTCGAGGTCGAACGCTTTGAGGATGCCATGGTAGTCAGACGACGTTAATATCAACAGGAGTACGAAAAAGCTCTCAACTGCGACGAACACAAACACTGACTGACAGATCACATTATTGGCGGTAAATTGTCACATTTTGACAATAGTACCAACATAATAAACTTATATTTACCATAGACAACGAGAAACATGTTATTTTTGCATAAAAAAATGGCAGCACTGATCAAAATTGCTGTCAAAGTTGACTCATAACCTACAAAAATATTAATTTTCAATAATTTTTTTTTCGAGTTCTATTCGTTTCCGCCTAAAAAGATTTCGTGTACGTGTTTTTGATAGTTAACACTTTGCGTGACAAAAATTTCAGCTTGCAACTCAATTACATATAATGGAAAGCTGAGCCAAAACAAGTATCACCTTTTGGGCCCTGGAAGTACAGTTTTACCCGTTTTGACCCCTGCTCTTCATATCGGTTATTGATTCGCTTCACTATTTGGATTTCGTTGTTCTCGAAAATGGCATCTCAGAGAAGATATTGTGTGCCTAATTGCAATGTAACACGTATGTATTACCAATCAGTTACATATAATTGAACCTCTATAAACAATCCTTTCTTGATTTAACTATTTGACCAAATGTTTCAGGCGCAGATAAAATACCAATGCAATCGTTTCCTAACCCTGACATTCACCCCGATCGATTCCGAACTTGGCTTCCGCTGTCGGAGGAGAGATATTAGCTATGGACAATAATTATTTTTTCAAACAAGGAATAGTTTGTCAAAAACATTTTGTGACCAAGTTTCTTACTTGGACTAGAACACTTTCTCCACATGCTGTCCAACTTTACATTTGCCAGGTAAATTTCTGATTTCAAAGTTTTTTAAAACATCGAGTAAAGAGTGTATGTAATGGTCTCTTAATAAAAATCATTGAGTTGAATGTGATTTTTATATAAATTGCTAAATATTTTTTTATTATCTGGATTTGGTGCACCAAGGAGTGTTTCAAGCTTTCAATGCCTTCTACATCCACTAGTAAATATTTATTTATTTATTTACAAATCATTTTGACATTCTGGTAGAGTGGAATGTGCACTGGTTGTCAATGCCTACTGTAAAGTTCTGGGTTCGAATCCTGGTAGGGGCAAAATTCTTTTTGAATGTTTGAATGGAAGCATCAAATTTCAGATATTCAAATTAGTAAAAACTTTCCCTTATTCTCTTTTGTTTTAATATAAAAATTTTTTGCAGGTGGTGTTTTGACTGAAAAGGTAGAATTACAACAAAACGCTGTAAAGAAATCGAAGATACTAAGTAAAAATAAGCTTACCGGTAATTTTTATTTTTATATAAGTATTTTTGTCTATTAAAATTATTACATAATTTTATTTACTTAACTTTAAAAAAAATATATCAGAAATATGTTATCTATATTTTAAAGAGCACCTATCCTTATCATCTTTATTCTTTTGTTAACTTTTTTCTTAAACTTACCTGTATGGGCTTTAGTCATGTTTTAGTTAATAAGTATACATTACATAATGAAATGAACCTTCCACTTAGTTTTCTTATACTAATAATTAGTTAAAAAAAATTGAAGACTTCTCACCTCACAATGATACTAATTTTATTGAAATGCTTTTTTTCAGCATCTGCAATGGATCAAAGTGTAACTAACTTAAAAAAAGTGGTGAAGAAGCTAACTGAAAAGAATTTCAAATATACAACACGGCTAAAGAAAGCAATGAAACTTTTATGATAGATCCGACTTGTAGATTTTTTATATATAACTGGTGTGGTGAGGTAAATAAATTATTAAACGGCACCATAAAGGTGCGTAATTGTACAAATTTTAAAGATGATATTAAAAGAATGGCATGCAAATATTTAAAAATATAAATAAAAATAATTGATTTATAAAACTTCTTTATTTATTCTAACCGACTGTGTTAAAGTTACATTATTAGACAATTATCAAAAAAAAACTGTGTAAACGAATAGTAGATAAATTATCTAATAATGTAGCTTTAACACAGTATGGTTTTTTCCTTTTTTCATATTAATAATCGCATCTAAGGCCGTATACAGAAAGAAAGCCGAAAGCCGATCGGCGCTTATCGGCGCCGATCCTTCCTACATAATGGAAGCCGATTAAAGCAGATCAAGCAAAATGTCGGACTCATCGGACGATGATTTGGTTTTTTTAAAAAATATTTATTTAAAATGCGAAAAACAGCTATACATCCTATATATAGAGAAAGGAAACGTTTCGGAGAATACCATCATTTATTTGTAAAAAAAAAAAATTTGATGAACAAAGATTTTATACATATACAAGAATGATTGAAGAAACATTTTATTACATTTTGGATTTAGTGAAAAACCGTTTGATGAAAAATTGGGGCAATTGGCCCCAATTATAACCAAAATAAACAACCAATCCTTCCAGAAGAAAGACTTGTTGTCACCATTCGGTAAGTACGAAACAAAAAATTAGCGCTTAGTTAATAAAAGATAAAGTTATTAGATTTATAAAAAGATTATAACTTAGATTGATTTAATCTAAGGATAATAATTCAAATACAAATTATTTATTATTCTGCACTCTGGCCGCACCCTAAAGCTGCCGGTACCGGTTCAGTAGTACATGACTTGTGATTATGTCATGAATCACTAGATAGCGCTGTATGCTCAGGTTAACTGATATCTCTATTACTAGTATATATTGTACTCTATGTTCCTAACAAAGAAGAATCTTCTAAAATATTTTTCTTAGAATCAAATTACTACCAAAGAGTACTTTTTATATATTACTACCAATCCAATAGTAGCAGCTTAATTTGATTAGAGTACCTAGGTACTTAGCGTATATTTCTCGGGAAAGCTATGAGGGATGATAACGAAGATGACTACAAATTTGCTGCTTGCACCTTTTTTGCTAAAGATCATCCAGGAGAAACTTGTGGCAGCAACGGTCTACCGCTCACACCGAGTTCAGTTACTATAATAGGACAGGCACAACGTCTACTTACCCTTAAACATGATAATTTGTGTACATACTTGGACATCATTAGGTGTAAACATGGTTTGTTATTCCTTTTATGGACTGCCTGCTCAATTCTTGAATAAAACTTATCTGTCAGATTTATAAATTTATGTATTCAATTAAGAAACAAAGTTCCCAAAGGAAAGTGTATATTTGCAGTACCAAATAAATTACATGAATTTTCTGTGTTGAGACACAGCAATAATAAAAAAATTAATTGAAACTTCTTTTGTGTGTCATTCATTTTAATACAATATCAAACCATCAATATTTTTAATATTTTTGTATAGGGCAAATAAGTTTTAACTAGGTATTGAAACCCATGGCACTAATAACTAATTTTTATTTTAGAACGTATAATTGTGGTGGCAGAAGTTATAGGGAAATCTCTAAAAGAAACCAAGTTGAAATTTGCTTATGAGGAAATTATAAACATTGGCCTACAAATTGCGAAAGCAGTGAGTTATTTACACAAGCAGGATATAACCCATAGGACACTATCTGATGATAATATTTTGATAGATACTAATGGCCAAGTGAAGTTGTTTAACTATGGTATGAATTACATGACAAAAGGAGGGACTGAAGTGGCTTTTCCTATTGGGTATGTATCAATTTAACATTTGATTGATATTTATTAATTTACTAGCAGTGGCCAGTGACTTTGCATGTGTGGAGTTAGTTAGAACTAAAGGTTCACTGCTCATTCCCCGTAGGTGATAGCGTGATAATATGTAGCTTATATGTTGACCCGACTTCTTAGTAATAAACGTGCCAAATTTGAAGTAAATCCATGCAGTATTTTTTGAGTTTATCCAGAACATACATACAGACAAACAGACAAAAATTCTAAAAACTATATTTTTGGCTTCGGAATCAATTGTAGATCAGACCCCAAGTATTCTTTTAAAAAAAAATTCAATGTACAGTTTTGACTTTCCTATCATTTTATAATATGTATAGCCTATTAATTGGCAGTCCATAGTCCTAGTGTGACATATAATAAACGATATAACTATATATTTTTTACATAATTGTGAAAAAACTTATGTTGATAAAAATATGCTAAGGCAGACTACCTATTATTTCTTTTGTTTAATTTTTATGTAAAGTTTTTTTTTTATGTTATAGGGGGCATACGAGCAGACGGCTCACCTGGTGGTTAGTGATCACCGTCGCCCATGGACACTTGCAACACCAGGAGTATCACAAATGCGATGCCGGCCTTTAAGGAAGGAGTACTCTCTTTTTTTTAAGGTTCTTGGGTCGTATTGGGAAACACTGCTGGCGACAACATATTCCACAGTTTTTGTTCTCGTACGTGGTAAAAAATTTCTACAAAAACGCACGGTTGTGGATAGCCACGCATCAAGATGATGGGGATGAAATTTTTGTCGCGATGTTGATTTTTGTTTGTAATGTTGCTCCAGGCTAATAAAACTCTTTCTTTCTTAATAATTACTATTAAAGCACACATGCAAACTTCCAGACTTCCAAGATATTTTAGTCCAGAGACAATACTCAGTGGAGGAGGACCTTCTGTTGATGTGTGGTCATTTGGTATTATTCTGTTGGAGCTATGCATAGGGAAGCTGTGGCAGAACTTGAAGCCTGGACCTATATTACGTAGGATACTAACATTGGTCCATTCTGGTAATGCAGCTGAGAGAATTGCTAGAGAAAATGATTACTATGAAGTTTACAAGGTTTGTTCTCCTACTCTTTGTGTCATACTTATAGTAAAGATATAAACTTTAACTTTATATTGTTGTTATACAGCAAAACCCAGTAAATCAATATTAGTTTGATAATATAATATAAATTTGTTTTTGTCTCTAAAAAGTCAATTTCATATTATCTACTAATTTTGGTTTACTGGGTTTTTGCTACAAGACAATATGGTTGTTACTGTATCTGCTAAAATTTCTGAAAAGATTTGGTTGAAATTTGGTAAACAGATAGTTCATTGTCGTAACATAGGATTCACCTAATGTTTTCTTTTGTTTTCAAAATTCAAGTTCCTGGCTAATTAATTTATCAAATAAATGAACTCAAAACATATCTCTACCATAATACTATGTAGGTTATGAGGCTGTATTGCTCCACAAGTTGATTTTCTAAAATTTTTATTATAACTAAACTGTTTTTTCTGTAAATAACAGTAATAATTAATAATTTTTGGTGAAAGATAATAGCATATATAGTTATATTAACAATAATAATTTAATAAACTATTTGAATTAATTATGTCAGTGTTGTTTCACATTATGCGCTTTCTAGGCAGATCTGAAAACCAGTGCTTTGCTCTCAGAGGAAAGGTATTGCTGAGTTTTTGCCTTTTTCTGTCATTGCAGCACACTGTTACATATTAAGTAATTAATTCTTCCATTTGTTTACTGTACTGATGGGAATAAATGATCTGGGAATGAAATAGGAATAAATAATATCTATCTAAAATATAAAATTTGCCACATCCTTCAAGGCTGTAAATAATGAAATCAATTTTCAATATTATGCTTGTAGTCCCATCAGATTTATTTATTTTATGACAATATCTCATTGGTTTCAGCAAGTGCCAGATCATGTTAAAAATGTAATAGAAAAATGTCTAAAAATTCATCCCAGCGAAAGAGCAACTTTTGAGGAATTGGTATCTGAACTGTCAAACTTGAATACTAAGAAGAATCTGGAGCTAAAAAGATCTTGTGGTTTAATGGGATGCAATCTGCATGTGCTATACCATCTATGGCAATTGGCTGGTGGGGATATTCAAGCAGAGTTAAAGAAGAACTGTCTTATAAAAAATAGTCCTCCCATTTTGTCTATGCCTATGTGAGTTATATTCGCTATGTGTACATGTTTAATCATAAAACAGATTTCAATAACTATGCTCGTTTCAAAGTTGGTGATAAATTATACAAGGTGGTAAAAAAACCTTTGTTTCATATGTCAAAAACCACGTATTCTGCCCATGATCAGGACCATTTTTGTCTTCTACCTGGGAAATCAATAGTTAAGAAGTTATTGAAGATCAAAGTCAAAACAGTTTTTCAAGGTTTTAATGAAAACAAATTTTAAATATTATTTAGGTATTTCATAACAAAGCACTTTTTTGTTATGAAATACCTAAAATTTTGTCCTATGTCGACTGACCATAAACGCTGCCTTTCAATGATACAACTCTATACTTAGCGCTAAACAATGCGTGGTACTCTCCACAATTTGTTTTTAACAACAAAAAATATTGTTTTTCAACAAGAATTTTTTTGCTAAGTTTCTTATTTTGATGAATAGAATGCTCCAGCTTCGGCTTTCTCGAGGGTCTTTTTTCACCCTGTAAAATATGTACTCTCCGACCGAAATGGCTTGTTTACTAAAAGTAATATCTTAATTTAATTGCCTGTTACTTTACACTAAAAATACCAACAACAATATGTCTTAGTTGGTGAGGTGAACCAAAAAGTAAGATGCTTCTTGAGATAATATACTTAATGCCGCAATTACATTTTGTTGTTAGCCCGTATGTGGGTGCACTGTAGACATTTTTTCAATTGAAAGCACCTGAAGCAATATTTACACTTGAATACGGGTTGGAAGACAGTGTTCCTTAAACAAAAGAAAATCTACCCGAATACGGGCGTACTCGGATTCCGTTCATTCACACTTAGTCGTTTACCCGAATACCATTGGCACTCGTATTCGACCTAACCACCAAGTGTAATCGCGCCATAAGGCATTGTTGTTGGCACAGAAAACAGGATATTATACCTCTGCATTTCATTTTGCATTCATACTTGACAGACAAATGTCTCAATGTGATCTTTTACATTTGAAACCTGCAGATCTTCATGCATTTCTGTATTTAAGATGACTAAGGGTATTTTTTTGTTCTGATCATGTGTTTTTTCTTCAGAGCAATATTACTTGATGGCTGTACTATAGGTGGTAGAACTGGAGCCTTTTTTGATCGCCGCATCGCAAAATACAGCTTAGACTTGCTCAAGCTACGGCTCAGTCACATTTCACCACATGACTTCTATCCTCTGATGCATGAGAGAAGGAAAGTTTATGATGCTGTCACTCTTCCTAAGATAATAAGGGAAAGAGACACGGAATATCAGTTTTACAGACTGTTGTGGTTTCAGAGGCTTTTACAGGTTAGTTTATTTTTGTAGGGCATCCTTGAGGCAAACAAAGGCACAGAGTCCTTCAAGTTAATAGAATAATGTCAAAGCTTCATATAACCCCACTTGTTACTTCTTTCTTGTCAAAAAAGCTTTTATTTATCATCTATGATATGTCATTATAATATAGTTTATTTGGTTGTTGTAAAAGTAGTTCCAATTTATGAATAATAAAAGCTCATAAAATAATGAACATTAACAAACTAAAAATAAAACTTAGATATATCTAAGTATTTAATTTTTAAAAGAACCTTAAATTATTTTCATCCCTCGCGCCAATAAACGAATCGAAAATGGCGACTCAACATAAGACAATCTGTCCCTCTCGCACATTGTTCCTGATTGTGCGAGAAGGACAGATTGTCTTGCGTCTTCATTTTCGATTCGTTTTTTATTGGGGCCTGTTAACAAAGTGCCTGTTGTCAAGCAACGTCTATTTATTATTTCAAGAAACACAGCAATTATAAACTAATTGATTTATTGAAGAAAATTTTGAGTTGTCTGTCATTTTTTTATCCCTGTTATAGGGTTACCCACACACTGCGGCGCACATAAGAGCCGAAGCGGAAGTGGACATACCTCCCCTTGTAAGGGGAGACGTATGGGCCGCGCTACTAGGCGTGTGCGGGGACATCGAACGCCAGTACGAGAGGATAGATAAAGAGACCCCCACTCCTACTGATAAACAGGTTTGTGTGTAGATAAATATAATAATCTATACGACTCCATCTGAAAGAAAAGGTAAATAAAAAAAACATAAGCCAATCTTTGAAAAACTGTTTTATCGAGAAAGATGACCAGTGTAACCAACCAGACTGATTACATAGTTTCACATTGCAACGTAAATATATTTCTTTATCATCACTGTTCAACTCAGTAGTAGTAGTAACTCATCAGGGTCGCGGTAGCATAATTGGTCAGTTAATTGGTCAGTGCATTCGCCCGGATAGCGAAGGGTGCGGGTTCGAGTCCCGTCTGCTGCCTTTTTTTTTTTATTGTTGGGAAAATGCGTTAGGCATACCCCGCCCCGAGTGAGTGGCGGGGTTATGTGGGTATCCCCCAAATGGGGGGAGGAGGAGTCCCACACCCCTACAAACCCCTACCCACTAAAAACCCAACAGTGCTCCCTCGTCTGCCGAAACGGGTTTTGTGGGATCCGGATGACGCTCCACGTTACCCCGGCAGTAATTCCTCCTCCTTCTGGTGGTCAGGGGGATGCCCGGGAGCACCTAGGCATCCCCCCTCGACGGGTGAGACTGTGCAATGCGAGCGACGGACCACCCTGTCCGCCGCCCGCAGTCCCACTAGGGTGGAAAGAGGCGGTCGTACTGCCGCCGCCTTCCCCCCGGTCGTCGGCGACGGAGAGGGCCGGCCCGGGCGTCCCCCTCGCGGGCCCTCTCCGCTGTCTCCTTCTGTAGGATGACTTCCTCACAGAAGGAGACGACCGCGTTCCAGGATCTGTCGCTGTCCAGCATCGCTTTAACGACGCTGGGCAACGAGAGATCCCTTCCTACTGCCATGACCATATCATGGCGCTGCCGAGACCACGTCGAGCACTCCTCAAGGGTAGTGCTGTGCCGTGTCCCCGACAGCGCCACAATGATGACATGACGCCCGTCTGCTGCCTGGTCCATGTGGATTTTTTTCTAGTTATATTTTCTTTAGATTTAAACATCAAGCAGTTACATGCTTAAAAAATAAAATAAAATTATAAGTATTATAATGCTTTAAAAGTTTGGGAATAGCTACGATTTTAGGTCTTTTTAAAGATTTTTATTGTGTTAATTTTATATGTGTATACAATTCGATCTACTGAAAAACCTGTTAGTGGTAAACTTTTGTCACAGTGGAAGTTGAATAAATTATTTAAAGTAACTTGTATTTGTAACGAAGGTAGACATATTCCCACTAGTGAGACGACAGTACGGGAGGATAGATAAAGAGACGCCCACTCCTACAGATAAACAGGTTTAAAGAAGATTCGATAAGATTTAGTTTTGTAGGTTTTTAATGTAAGGAAATCAAGGTATCTTAACATTAAATAAAACTAGTTTTACGGGTCAATGCACGAACTTTATTTATTTAATGACGTTTCGCAGCCTTTTCAGGTCTGCATCGTCAGAATAATGATTTTTTATTTACTTTGTCGAGCTACAGATTGCTTTTAAGACAATCTAAAAAATCATTATTCTGACGATGCAGACCTGCAAAGGCTGCGAAACATCAATAAATAAATAAAGTTCGTGCATTAACCCGTTAAACTAGTTTTATTTAATGAGTGATGGGCGTGAAAACCTAAGAAACAAATATGTTAACTTCAACTGATTTTGGGATTTATTTACCTTTATATTCACGGTGAATTGACAAAATTTGACAATTTGTCATCATTCTGTTGGTGCAATCGCTAAAGGTTAAAAAAAATTGAAACAAAAAATAAAACTGAGTTCAAAATCGAAAATGGAACTAAAAAGTAAAAAATAATATCTGGTTCATGATTTAGAAGTCAGACGGGTCGAGATTGAAAGACGTATTATTACCGATCAGAAACGAAAATCTATTTCATGTTTCAATCTTGACCTCGCCCGACCACCAAATAATGAAACCATATATTATTTTTTACTTTTTAGTCCCATTTTAGATTTTGAAGTCTGTTTTATTTATTGTTTTTTTTTTATTTCATCCATTTTAGTGAAATTTACATCGTCCAAGTAATCAATAACACAATTGACGGAGAAATCAGTGAACAAGCAAAAAAACATCATGCGTGCCTTTAAAATTTGAAGGTTTCCCTCGATTTCCTGACTTGGTTCCAATGGAACGGCGTAAGTGCACTCTTTCAAATAAAAAAAGAATTTGGGAAATCGGTCCACAATTGACGGAGAAATGGTGAACATACATAAAAAAACAGTCGAACACAGAACCTTCTTCTGTTTGAAGTCGGTTAAAATGAGACATTTCCAAGTTATTTAATTGTTAATTTGCTTATTTTAAAACTTTGAAGTTAATGTTATCCTTCAAACGAATAAAACAAAATGCAACTTGCCCAATCCCAAAGGCAGTGTGCAGTAATTTGTTGCCTTTCCACACAATTCTAATCAGTTTAGTTGGCTTGGATGTGGATTTAAATTTTATTCCATTTGCAGTCCCGTACCCCAAGCAGGAGCAACTAGCGAGAAAGTATTCGTATCGCTATGTCAAAAGTTTTTATTGAAACTGAGCAGCTCCCTTACCGGTCGTAAGAACAAACTATAGCTCTTTCCATAGAAACTTTGACTAAAGCGATAAGAATATTTTCTCGCTTATTATTCGGGCTTGGAAAACTGGGTTGCGGTCCATTCCTTCACTCCAGATTCAATAAATATCAGAACCAAGTTCCATACTTTTTATGTACGAAACCTCAGATTGAAATCGCAGCCCTGATGGTTGGATTTAGCTTACAAATTATCATAATCATCAGCCTATTAATGTCCACACTGCTGGCGCACAGGCCTTGCCTATGGATGGAATGGGAAGATAGAGCCATGACCTAACACGCGGGCCCAGTGTGGATTGGCGGGTGCTCACGACTGCAGATGTAGCCGGGACCAACGGCTTAACGTGCCTTCCGAAGCACGGAGCAACTCGAGATAGAAGATTTTTGGTCACCCATCCAATGACCGACGATTGCGAAAGTTGCTTAACTTTCAACGATTGCAGAAGAACGCGCTAATCACCTGTGCCATCGAGCTCCTCAAAACCATCTATATCCTTACAAATTATATTCCATGAATATAGATTGACGTGGACATTCCCCGTTGCCACCAATACTGTTTACTGCTATGCGGTAGTGCGGGTCATCGGGCGCTCAAGAGGCTACTGAAGGCGTGGCTGCTCACCAACCCTCAGTATGTGTACTGGCAAGGATTGGACTCATTGACTGCACCATTCCTGTACTTGAACTTTTGCAACGAAGGTAAGGTCTCGTAACGTTTAACCCCATTCCTAACCCAATTCATTTTTCATTATTAGGATGAGTTTTTTGAAATGAAACTTCTTTACACACGCTTAACTAGGGGGGTAAGCTGGCGAATGCGTTACGCGTTACGAAAAGTGTGTTCGGGCGAGACGAACGAGAGTTGAGTGGGGGATATAAGCAAGAGAAAGTTGTTCGCGCGCACATTTTCTTTCTCTCTTTCTCTTATGGCTAGTAAATGAAATATGTATTTGTACATACATGTATATATTGTACATATATATACAGTGGTGGTCACATAATTACAGACACTCCCTAATAGGGAAGATGCAATATTTTTATTTTTGTTTTAATTTTAAAGAATTCCATGTAGAATAAATACACCACAGATATAATAAAAAATTAAAACATTGTAATTTATCGGAAAAAATGCGGATTTAAATTGACAGTTTAAGTTTTCGCGTGAAAACGGACCTATGGTTCCGATGACGTCACTCCTGTCTGTCACTGGTCGTACTTGTTCGTCGCTGGCTTTCAATTTTCATACTTCTGCATAGTTTTGCGACTTTCGAGATATTTTTTTGTAAAAAATTAAAATGGACTATCCATCAACATCAGGTGATCATAGTAATACCACTAATATTCCGTAAAAAGGCCGTGTTGACTCATCCATCTACTTCAACAAAGTTTCCAAATAAATTGTTTTTGACTTTTGATTGAATTAATTTAATTGACCCAAAACTGAGAAAAAAGTGGTTTCAAGCTGCGAAGAGAAATGACAATTATTCTCCAAAGACCAGTATTCGATGCTGTGAAGATCACTTTGACGTAAGTCGGCGAGTATACTTGTTATTTGCTGCTTGTACGTAAAAACGCGATAGTAACATACCTCATACTTACAATACCTGTCTATAACATATTTTTAATTTTACAGTTGGAGAATGACGTCGAAAATAGGATAAAGTTTAAAATGTTCTCATTGGCAGGACTGAACCAAGCTTTGCGTTTAATTTAAAATAACTGTAACACGATAACCTTCTTTACGTACTTTATGCTCCGGAGTAACTCGAGTTTTTACTGTACATAATTCTCCATCTCTTTTAATTTGGACATAGCCGATTGCGTTATTCGCCGTAAGATTCTCTTGTTGAGCTGAAATAACTGCTATGTGTAGAAGCCGCTGAATAAAATACAAAGTTTAACAACTATAATTTATACATACCGTAGTAATTTAGTCCCTTTTATTTCTACACTTGAAAACTCTGCACATTGGACAAAAAAAGTTATAACCATATCAACACTAACTCTGGGTAAATTCCTGGAGTCTGCTTTAATAAACCCAACTTCCATTTTTATTATAAAACGCAATTATTATTCCCATAAAATAATATTCACTTTTACAACCATAACTATTCATCATTTATTATCACCTTGCCCGAAAAATATTATGACAAGCTCTGTCAACCGGAAGTTTGGCCTGTTAATGTGGAATTTGCGGAATGGGTTTGGTTTCGGAGAGCTACAAACTTACCCATTGACAAAGTATAGCATCATAAATATGTTTTACCAAAACGCAAGAGGCCTACGTACTAAATTGAATACATTTCGTAATAATATAGAATCTTCGTGCGCCGATTTATTTGCAATAACAGAAACGGGATGCAACGAATCTATTCACAATGCGGAAATCGTTCCGCCCGATTATAAAATCCTAAGATGCGATCGAACGGATGGAAGAAAACAAGGTGGCGTTTTTCTCGTGGCCACACACCGGTTGGAACTGCGGAAAGTGAAGCTACCGAGTGACGTCAACATACTGTGACGTCAACAACTGTGTGTTCGAAATACTCGGCGCGGCAGTGTTTTTAAATAATAGATACTTGTTTTTATGTTGTGTTGTTTACATTCCCCCGGATAGTACAGAAAATGATTATATGATTTTATTCAGAATTATTGAACAATGGTCTGTTAGGTATAAGACAATTATAATTTTAGGTGATTTTAATTTGTATTCTACCAATGAAAATGTAATTAATTACTTTGATTATCTTACAGCTTTCTGTGAACTCGCTCAGTTGAATAGGGTGCCAAATTGTATGGACAGGCAGCTGGATTTAGTGTTGTGTTCGGAGAGCATAGCGGATGGTAGTGAGGTACGCAGGGCGGATGAGGCTCTTGTGCCGGTGGATTCTTATCACCCGCCTCTCGCCGTGAGTGTGCGGTTTGACCGGCGGTGTGGTGCGCTGTTATCGCCGCTCCCGTCGGCGCCGTCATGTACTTCATGCGAAGATTTTCAACAATGGAACTTTACTAAAGCTGATTATAGTGTATTGTATCCGTTGCTAGCTGACATTGATTGGAAGTTATTGTACATTATGCGAAATCCAGATGACGCGGTGAATTATTTTTATGCTTCTGTAAATGACGTATTTAATAAATGCGTACCTAGCAAGAGGCCTCGTAAAGAAACCGGTAGGTATAGGTATCCGGAGTGGTACTCAGTAGATATAATAAAAACAATAAAATTGAAAGCAAAACTCCATAAAGAGTTCAAATCTAATAGAACATCAGAAAACTACGCATCCTTTTCTAAATGCAGGGCTAAGGTAAAGGAAATGATAACTCTGGCGCACGATGCATACACAAATAGGGTTCAGTGTAACTTAGCAAAAGATCCAAAGTCTTTCTGGGATTATGTGAGATCACAAAAGGGTACAGTGAATCGCAAAAAGATTACCAAAAATGGAACTTTTTTACCAGATTCTGAATGTGCAAAGGAGTTCGCAAAATATTTCCATTCTGTATACGGTAATGAACCCGCCAAGCTAGACGTGGCGGAGGCAACAGCAGCCAGCGGGGCGAGTGCCGCTCGTATTCACGTCCCACAGCTCACGCTGCGCGAGGTAAGAGAGGCAATGGTGCGGTTAAAGCCGAAGCGTTCCGCAGGACCTGACGGCATCCCTTCTTTTGTCGTCAGAGACTGCCGGGCTGTTCTGGCGGAGCCACTCTTGCATATATTTAATATATGCTTAGAGGCATCTTATTTTCCGAAATGCTGGAAAACCACACGGGTTGTGCCTATACCTAAAAGTGATGGGGGATCGGAAGTAAATGGGTTTAGGCCTATCGCGATTCTATCGACGCCGGCAAAAGTATTTGAAGGCGCATTGCAGCGGAGCATTCAGTTGCAGGTATCAGCTCAATTATCTAACGAGCAACACGGGTTCAGGCCTGAACGCAGCACTACCAGCAACTTAATGAACGCGATGACCTACATTGTACCTCGTGTGGACGCAGGAGAGCAAGTTGACGTCGCCTACTTCGACTACAAAAAAGCGTTCGATCTTGTCGATAACGACGTATTGTTGGCGAAGTTGGCTGGGGTCGGTTGCACTAATCAACTCCTTAATTTCTTTGTAAGTTACATGAGGGATCGAATGCAGTATGTGGAGTATGCTGGGTATAAATCTGAGTCCTATTTTACCAGAACTGGGGTGAGTCAGGGCAGCAACCTAGGCCCATTAGAATTTATCGTTATGATAAATGACCTGCCAGAAGTGGTCAAGTATGCTCGATGTTTACTTTTCGCAGATGATCTGAAATTGTTGTGGGCCGTTAAGGACTACGAGGATTGTGAACGGTTACAAGGAGACATTGACAGGGTGGTGGAGTGGAGTCGAAAAAATAAACTGCAGTTTAATACTAACAAATGCTCCATAATATCTTTTAGTAGAGCACAAACTCCGCTCCACTTCGACTATAAAAGTGAAAATTCAAAATTACATAGGACTGAGACAGTCAGAGATTTGGGAGTACAATTAAATCACAAATTGAATTTTAAAGATCATATTACGAATATTTGTAAAAAAGCTTACAGAAGTTTGGGTTTTGTTTTGCGTCATTCAGTAGGTTTTACGAATATGAAAGCGATTGCGGCCCTGTATAATGCGCATATACGAAGTCAGCTCGAATTCAACGCGATAGTATGGGCTCCACACGAAACAAAGTATAGACAAATGATGGAGCGCATACAAAATAAATACACGAGATACTTATACCTAAAGTTATACGGAGTGTACCCTTTCTATCCGTTGATGTACCCAACCTTGTTCGTATTGGGCATGGTCGGTTACAACAAGTTGGAGACAAGAAGGGAATTGGCACTCGCTGATTACATAGTCAGGGTGTTGCGAGGCATTACCTGCAACCCAAATATATTAGGATTGCTAAATTTATGCGTGCCTGATAGATACGTGTGGCGGCGCCGGCGGCCGCAGCTTCTCGCGGTGCCGCGCGCCCGCACTCGCCTGCTGGCCACCGCACCTCTGACGCGAACAATACACACGCTCAATGTAGTTGCCGAGTCTATCGATTTGTTCACCTGTTCGATTGGCGAGTTTACGAAAGTAACTTTAAAAGTGTTGTGCTATAAATAACATTATTGACTTTTTTACTGGAATATATTTTTATTTATTTTGAGAAATGTATTATGAATTTTAGATTTTATGGACAACTAGCAAACCCCGCGAACTCCGTTTCGCCACCAGATGGCTTCGTTTTATGTAACATTTCGTTCGTAACGAATGCAAAACCGTGGAAATCGGTTCGTGCGTTCTGGAGTTATAGCGTCAGGAAGGAAAACCCGACTTATTTTTATATAGTAGATATTTGTAATGCTTCCTAAATTGAAGTTATTTTTTTTTATTTTTATAGATTTTTAATTGACATTTGCTTAAATTGACATTGTTTTTTCTTTTATTTATTTTTATTGACATTTATTGACATTTATATATAATTTACAACATTGAAATAATATTGTTAATAATTAATGTAATTTTATAAGAATTTATAGTTAGCTTGAAAGGACGACTACACTATTGAATTAGATATATACCTGTTAAAATGGTGTAATGTATTTTGAATAAATAAATAAATAAAACTTCAAATAAGTTGTCATAACAGGAGTGACGTCACTAAACGCTGATTGGTGTTTTAAAATA